GGTTGACATGTATTCCTGCGATGGAATTGGCCCCCTACCTCTGACTGTGAGCACTGAACCATGTGGCTGAAGGCAGAGAACACAACCTGGTTGTTCCCACTCTCTTAGTGGAAGCTGTTCTGGGTGCAGCCTTATGGTTCCCCTTTGGTTCTGAGGGTTGCGTGTGGGTGCTGATCCATTCCTTGCACTACATCTGCGTTTATTCATTCCACAAATGTGTTGGATGTTCATATGATGTGCTGATACTATAGGAATGTTGGAGATTTAAGAACCATGAGCCAGCAGCATCCCTATCTTTCAGGTGTTTCTGTGTTTTCACTGAGCAAGGTGGTGGCAACCCTTCAGAGTAGTTGCTTTGTGTGGGCACTGAAAATATCTGTGTCCCAGAGGGAATTGATGGATCCCCTGGCCTAGTTATGTTTTAGGCATCCCTTGTGCTAAGTACTAAACTAAACAAGGAGAACATTAGACTGTGGCAGCTCTAATATTTTAGCACTCTACATTAAGGAACCCAAACCTCAGCCTTGTGAAGGCCTTGGGGTCAGGAAATCAAAACTGAAGAACAGCTGATCACCAACAGTCAACAGGTCTTTTCCAAATAAGACAACCGCTTAAGATACAGCCATTGAAAAATGTCTTTGCTTTGCTTCTGCCTTTTCTCTAGAAACATCTTTCTCCTTGGCTCTTGTCTGTGGGGCACTTCTAACCACTTCCAGTTGGAGCTGCCCACATGGAATAGTTTTTTTCTCAAATAAACTCTTAAATTTTTAAACATGCCTCAGTTTCTCTTTTAGCAATTCTTTGATTTGAATCACAGAATCTTCCAGGTGGAGGATTTGTTCATTCATTCATTAGACAGGCATACATTAAATGCTGTAGCATGTCAGGCTCTGTGCCAATACTGAGTATGCAGAAGTGATTAGAATAATACATCTTGTGTTCTCATAGACCTTAGTTGGATGGGGTAAATCAACATTTCCAAGAAAACAAGCATATTTATGCTTACGAACTGTGGTAAGAATTATGAGGTCAAGAACTGGATGGTCTGATAGAGACCAGTACAAGTCATCCCCTTAAGCCTGGAGGACCATAAGGAGGTGAATACACAGTTTCTGTGTTCTGGTGGTTTGCACAATTCCAAAAATAAGACAGGTGCTGACTGGAGGGGGGCATTGTGGCATTATGATGACCTCAAAACCTGAAGGAAAGGAGCCTGCCATGTGAAAATCCAGTCCATGTAGAGATAAGGGCCTGGATGTGGCCCCAGTGGATCACATTCTGAGTATTGGAAATGTGAAAGAGTCCAGTGAGGTCAAGGTAGTAGCTGAGACACGTCAGCAAGAGAAAATGGCAAGGCAGGAAAGAGCAGACCATCCTGAACCTTGTAGGTCATAGCGAAAATTTTACTTTATTTCCAATGCAATGGGGTGCCACATGGAAGATATTTAACGAGGTAAGAAAGTGTTATGTTTTAAAAAGCCCTTTCAGCTTTGGGGTTATGACAGCATAAAGACTAGTTAGAGGTATATGGTCCTGATCCACATGAAAGATAATGAAGGACTGAGTTTAGGTGGTGGATTAAAAAAACATTTATCTTTGTCAGTAGTAGTGAGAGAATTTTTTGATGGGTTGTATTGGGTTGGCCAAAAAGTCTGTTTAGTTTTTTCTGTAAAATAAAAGACACATTTTTCATTTTCACCAATAACTTTATTGATTTGGATATTTTGAATATGTTGGCTATCTCCTGCTATTGACTTCTACTGAGTAGAGGCCAGTGGTGCTGCTAAACATCTTACAATGTATAAGACAGCCCCACAGCAAAGGTTTTTTTGGCCAAAATGTCAACAGTACCAAGAAACTTTGCAAACCACTTTTGTCACATTTGACTAGTCACAGCACCTTCTCCATACACTGCACAAATATTCTTTTTTTGCATTTCAGTTGCATTTTTACCTTTCTTGAAATAATAAAGCTTAAAACACTGACAATATTGCACATCTTCCATCTTCAATATTAAAATGGCTGCACAAAAATTTACCAATTTTGATATTTTTTAAATGTATGCTGATATGACAGCTGTCACAATACAAGCTAACAGAATTGTTTTGAATGAAGTTAAAGACAACTAAGCACTACTAGAGCCATTGTATAGAAAAAGCTAAATGAACTTTTTGGTCAAACCAATATATTGTGGGCATGAAGCTGTCATGATAGAACTTGGCTATTAACATTTTAAACTTAAAATCTTAATGAACTAAAGCTTTGATAACTGGAATTCCAAATAATTTTGTTTTTGGCACCGAGGGTTGAACACTGGCAAATGTATTTCCAACTAGAAGTCTCAGTTACACTGAGCATGACATGGCCTGGTATCCAGTAAATACTCAGGTACATATTAACTCATTAAATAAAGTAGGTAGTGTTTCTACTATACAAATAATTCATAAAAGTAAATTGTTAGTGGTGGGAGCTGGGGACTACAGCCAGGGTGACAGAGACTGGTGGGAGGCCAGATAGAATAATGAAGATGTAACTGAGGGGAAGGAGGGCAAGAAATTGCTGAGGGCAGCTGGTTTGGGCTCTATTGTAGTTTCCACACCCTGTTTTTATATTTATAGTTTGTACAGTTTATAACCACACAATAGTCCAAAATGACACCAAAACTCCTAGTCTCTCATCTTGGGAGAGGTTAGGGCCAGAAGCACTAAGACTGATGCCCTCTGCTTACATCACAGGCATCCCTCAGTAGCTTTCTGGTTGGTACATAGAAGAATTAATGCTTCCATTTGCTGAAAGGAAAATGACTCAAAATGAATGAGATGAATTCAACAAGGAGAGGCAGCACTTGTCACGAGCATATCTTTGTGATACAGTCTTTCTTATAAGTAAGCCAGGCAACTGCTCAATTAGCTACCTTCTGAGCCTCCCAGCACCAAGGAATGAAGAATTATACACAGTAACAATGCTAATAACTCAGCTTTTATTGAGTGCAAGTTTGCTCAAAGTAGAACATCCACATACATTAGAATCTTACTCACACTGTAACAATCTAAGAGAAATATAACACATACACAACAATCAATGGGGGATAATGAACCCAAGTCCCAGAGTCTCAGGCTGCAGGTCTGGGAAAAAGCATGGTGGGCAAGGGAGTTGTCAGCATCTTGCAAGGAAGGATCTCCAGGGCTAGGTAGGCAGCACAACAGGCGAAGTCCTCAGTCCATCAGGGCAGAGCCTCCAGTGGCCGATGTCAAGGGATATCCGTGTGGCATGGAGCAGCACTCTGGTGTGTGGAGCTTGGCTGTCTCAGCAGTGTTCTGGAGCCTGCCTCAGTTATACCTTGAAAGTGGTATATTCCACCCTTCTGGGTCTTTTTGATAAATATCTTGGCACCACAGATGGCAAGTGTGAAATTTGCCCAGGAGCCTATGAGTGGTACATGGCTGTTCTACTTGACACCCCTGCTGGCAAGTATGGAATTTCCCCAGAAGACTATGGTGGTCCTGCTCTGCAGACATGGCTACTCTGACTATGTGTGCAGCTATCTTAAGTGTGTCTCCTTGCCAGACATCTCTGCTCTGACCACATGGGCAGAAATGTCTCCTTGCCAGGTGAATTTACTCTGACTTAGGTAATTTTTCTCTTAAACCAAAGTGTCAGGGCTGACTGACAGCCATTTTAGTTGACATAAATGACTCCACTTTGTTTTATATACTTTATTCTATCTTGATCAGACCAATGCCATTTTATTGGTCTTTCTAAGGACTGTGGTGCCAAACCTTTCAGTCTTTGTTAGAATGTTATCTTCTGTTCCACCAGGTCTGACACATCTGACATTGTTAACATTATCTTTTAAGTGGTAGGCTTAAGAGTTATTACTAATGAAACACCTTGTGGGGGTTCAGAACAAGCCACTCCAAGACGTGCCTATATGGTATAAAGATTGTTTCAAGCTAAAGGCAATTTTAGCTTCAGGCTCAAGAGAAACTTATAACCACCACCCCTCCCCACTTAACTACTTAGAACTTGAATTATGAACCTTGCCCATAATCAATTATCAATGATAATCTTTGATTCACCTATAATGTCAGGGAAAACTTATATTTACTAAACATCTGTTCTTATCATCTTGCAATGACCTTTTGGAGCTCCCAAGGTCACTTACCTCATCCCTAGCTCAGGATGTCTTCTATACCTACATTCCTCTTTGTCTCTGATTCTCTCATTTATGCAGGGTCCTCATATGTACATATGTGTTAAATTTCATTATTTTCTCTTGCTAATCTATGTCATGTCTATGTGATTATTAGACCAGCCAGAATAACCTTGATGTAGAGGAAAGTTTCTTCCTCCCTCATAGCAGCAAGTATGAACTTTCTATTTAGGAACCACTTTTATTTTGAAAGAAAGGACCTGAGCAGTGTGTATTTCTTTTCTTTCTTTGGGCAGCTCTGTGCACCAGTTCTACTGAAGTTTTATGGAGAATCTACAAGTTGCAAATTGACCCTGTGCTTTATGCTTCTTAATGTATAAATTACTGTTAGTGAGGTTATTTTCTCTCCAGGCAAAGCATGAAAGAACCATAAGAAAGAGCTATATCTTTTGTTTACAGAAAGCTGCATAAGTTATTAGTTGTAGCCTCAATAACAAACTTAACATTTACTTGCATCCAGGGAATCTAATTCAAAACTGGCAGCTCTTCTGAGCTTCCCAGATCAAAGTGTATTAGAAAAAAGACAATCTTTCCTATAACATGTGGTCCAAGTGGGCTACATACAACTCTGGATTTTTGTGGATAAACAGTTAAAAAGTAAAACACTTAGTATTTAGGCTCATGGAGAAGCATGAAGAGCTGGAGTAAAACACTTTTATTAGATTTGATTTTTAACACTGCAAAATAAAAGTAGTGGAAGTGCCAAAGGATTAATTAAGATTAATGCTTAAGGCCTGGTGAAGAATCAGACACAAATGTGGAAACAAGATTTAAGGTGCAGGAGAAAATGAGAGCTTTGTTTCAGGGCTGGTTTACTGTGTTTCCAGTGGGTCTGCAATTCATGAAGGGGTCATGTGGCTTCCTTCTGTGTAACCTAGATAATCTAACTCAATTCCTTTCATTTTTAGTAGCTTCCTCTTTAGATTTATGGTTTTTCTGCATCTGATGCCCTGTACTGGGTTATAGAATTGGAATGTAGCTATTAATTTTAGTTCGATGTCTTTGTGAGATGCATTCTGCGATCCACACGATGTTTCTCATTTCTTGTTCCCTCAACTTCATGTAAGCATAAAACACGCCACAGTGGAACTGCCTGTTGAATGCCAGCACATTCATTTTCACCTAGCACAGAAAAAAAAATAATGCAGACCATCAGCTTATTTAGAGATTACTCTGCTTACAAAATAATAAACTACAGATTGGCTTGTGCTTGAGCATATTAAATGCAAACAATAGTAGTTTAAAAAGTAAGCTAGTAGAACCACAAGGCAATCTCCAAATCTTGTCCGTGTTGTAAGCACAGATTCTTAGGACCTTGATTGTATGTGTGTGTGTATGTGTGTGACTTTGGTGTTATATTTACTTGGCTTCTAGCTAGTGCGCTTATCTCATTTAGGGAAAGTATTTTTCCTTGGTCTCAGCTTTTAAACATTTAAAAAGGTTTTTAAGACTGTCTAACTCCCCTCTAGGACAACATCCCAGACCCCTGGAATTTAATCTTAGAGGTATTATGAGATTTTTCTAGGATGGTCTGCAACAACCTGACTTAAGTTTCAGTTGTTTTGACAAACACAAAGAGCAGTGGAAAACATTCAGAATAGGACTGACAAGAAGCCCCAACACCCATTATGCTTGTAGGGGCTTGTGCAGCCTCACAGTTTATGTTAATTTCAGGGTTCTCTGTTGGTTCCAATCAATTGAATTAGAAGGGCCAGTGGTCTGGAGAAATGAATAGAATACACTAGAAAAATTTTCTGGGTTTGGGGGATTTTACCTGGTACCAAAAATATAAGACAATATAACACAATAAAAAAAAAAGTCCCCTTGTTGACTAGCTTACTGCCCAGAAATTGACTAGAGATGAATTAAATACCCTTTTTCCTTTTTAGGAAAATAGTGATTTGGAGATTAACAGCTGAAGGAGACAGCCACAGACAGTAGATTCCTGGATGTCCCGAACAGACTGCCTAAGGTCAGACAGGGTCATCACCTGACATCCAGAAAGTAAAAACAGCGGTCTCCTACCATAGAAGTTCACACCACAAAGTCAGGAGATCAAGACAGATCAACTTAAAAAGCATAATTAAAATAAAAGAGTCTCACAAATAATGGGAAGACAAAGGAATACTCCCCACTCAAAGGAAAAGGAGGAATCCCCAGAAAGAGAACTAAATGAAAGAGAGGTGAGTAAACTGTCAGATATTGAGTTCCAAACAATGGTTCTAAGGAAGCTCAATGAGCTCAGTGAGCTCAGAGAAAATTACAAAAACTACAGGGAAACTAAGAGGAACTTACTGCTAACTATATCAGAATGAAAAAGGACATAGAAATTATCAATGACACAAGAGGAAGTGAAAAGTACAATCTCTGAAGTGAAGAACACAGTAGAAGGAATCAAAAGCAGGCTAGATGAAGCCGAGGATTGAATTAGCAAGATGGAGGACAAGGTAGAAAAAAGCTCCCAGAAAGAGCAAAAAAATGAAAAAAGACTAAAAAAGAATGGAGATGCACTTAGGGAAATGAAGGACAACTTGAAACATAATAATATCCATGTAATAAGGATACCAGAAGGAGAAGAGGTTGAGGAAGGGATAGAGAACCTACTTGAAAAAGTAATGATGGAAAACTTCCATAATTGGAGAAAAGAAAAAATGACACAAGCCCAGGAAATACAGAGGGTCCCACTCATGAGGAACCCAATGAGTCCCACTCCAAGACACATCATCATTACAATGGCAAATATCAAAGACAAACAGAGAACCCTAAAGGCAACAAGGGAGAAAGAGGGAGTAACATATAAGGGAGCCCCCATACAGCTAGCAGCTGACTTCTCAACAGGAATACTGCAAGCCAAAAGGGAGTTGCAAGAAATATTCCAAATAATGAAAAGGAAAGGCCTGCAACCAAGGCTGCTTTACCCAGCAAGGCTCTCCATTAAAATGGAAGGCGAAATAAGGAGTTTCCCAGACAAAAGAAGCCTAAAAAAAAAATACACCTCCACCAAACCAGCACTGCAAAAGATGCTAAAGAGACTGCTTTAAGATGAAGAAAAAGAGTCTGTGAATACTCAGTTCCTTTCACAGTTGCCAATACTTGATATTACCAATATTTTTAAATGTGTATTAATCTGATTATGCCAATGATGTGTTATTTTAATTGTTCCTTTATTACTTGTTAAAACTAAAGCTGTTTTTGTATATTTCTTGCCTATTTCTATTATTTTAAAAAAGCTTTACATGACTTTTTGGTATCCTTTATCCATTTTTTATTTAAATGTTTGTAGAATTTTTCCCCCCCAAAAAACCCCACAAACCATTAACCCTTTTTTGGATGTGTTGCAAATAATTTCCTATTCTATTACTTGTCCTTTAACTTTTTTTATATGTATATTACTGTCTTATATGTACAGTCTTAAATGTTAAATATAGTCATATTGTCAATATTTTACCTTATAGCATCTGGGTTTGTATATTTTAGTTCAGGGTAAGAAAAATAATAGTTTGTATTTTCTCCTAAAACTCCTTAGATTCTACATATTGATTTTTAACTCACCTTAATATTTCTTGTATAATGTGTGAAATAGGGTTCTATATTTGTTTTATTTCAAGTAATAGTGGTCCATGCACTTATTTGTTGAATAAGACTTATTTTCCCCATTGATTTGAAATATCAACCTAATCATATATTACATTGTTAGACAGATAGATACATTTGTCTCTAGAATTCTCATTATATTTCATTGATCTACTTGATTATTTCTGTGTTGGGGTCATGTTGGTTTAATTGCTGAAACTTTATGATGGATTTAAATTTTTTAATATTTTATAATTAACTTTGACATTTAAAAAAATAAATCAGTCTGCATTTAAGAAAGAAAGGAAGGAAGGAAGGAAGGAAAGAAGGAAGGAAGGAAGGAAGAGAGAAAGAAAGAAAGAAAGAAAGAAAGAAAGAAAGAAAGAAAGAAAGAAAGAAAGAAAGAAAAAAAAAAAGAAAGAAAGAAAGTTGGAACTCCTACCTTTTGTGACAACATGGATGGAACTGGAGAATATTTAGCTAAGTGAAATAAGCCAGTTGATGAAAGACAAATACCATATGATCTCACCTAGTGGACTTTATTCAACAAAATAAACTAAAGAACAAAATAAGCCACAGGCATGGAAACATGGAGCAGACTGAAAGTGACCAGAGGGAATGGGGAGGGAGGACAGTGGTGGAAAGAAGGGGAAAGGACTAGACAAAGAACATGTATGAATGACCCACGGACATGAAAAACAGAGTGGAAATTGACTGTGGAGCAGGGAATGGGGTGGAATGGGTGGAGGGGGTAAAGGGGGGGGGCAAATTGAGACAACTAGAATAGAATAAGCATGGTTTATAAATTTAAAAAAATAAAAAAATGCATAGAACAGTAAAAAAAAATGATTTGGACTCTGTATGGATTTCCATAAGAACAATTCCTGTTATAACTGTGCTTTGAATTTAACTACAGTATTATAATTGTAGTTAAATCCGTGAAGGGATGGACTAGGAGTGAGGTGCTTCTACCAGAATGTGCACCATGAGGACAATCTCTGACCACAAGTACACTTGGCATTGTTTCTCTTTTTCATTATGGAAGTACTGCTTCTTTCCAGAGTGCTACTCTGCATATTTGTCTGGGCTGGGCAATTCCACAAGAAGCTACCATATGTGAACTACAGGGCCTATTTAAGTAGAGATCTTACACCAATGTAAGAAGATATTTAAAACCCAAAACAAGAGAAAAAATACGCATAAGCTAATAGCATTTCCATGACTAGCATACCTCATACTCATAAAACACATCCTCCAAAGACTTTCCCCCACTGCCATCATTCACAGCTGCGAACAAAGGCTTGTATACCTTAAAAACAGAAGAATTTATTTTTAAATAAATTTTCATTTCTTATAAATATGATTATATTTTCCTAACAATACAGAAATTGTGCATTTATTTTAAAAACTTATCCAGAAGGCTGTAAACATCAAGGTTTCTGAATGAATGTGGTGGGATTGCAGCCCACTGGGGGATGCAGACAGCGAGGCCAGAGGGCCACACATCCTCTTCAGCATGAAGATGTGAGCTCATCTCTACAGTCAGGCTCAGGGCTTGTTAGCTACATTCCAGTGGCTCAATGAACACTCCCTCAGTTTGAGTTCATGGGCTCTTTGGGATGACAACTGATAAAGTTCACATGGAAGTTCAAGTGTGGAAGAGATGGAAGTTGGGGAGAAGCTCATGATTTAATATTATGCTATAGAGCCTCCTGCAATGACATGAGATGTTACAAAGGTCTGAGCATTGTTTGCTGACTTTGATCTTTCCCAGAGGGCTTTAGGAATCCATGGGGAAAGATGAGAGGAGGGTCTTTCCAGCTCTGGAAAATTACCTGCAGGGTCTACGTATTACATCTGTAAGTTAGAAGGGATGGGATGGGAGGAGGAGCATAACCTGAGCAGAGAAGATTTAGGCTCTGTCTCTTTCCATTCCCGGCTCCTGGCCAATGAACCCAGGGTGTACACAAACTGACATACCCATAGTATCCCTCATATTTCAAGCAGACATTCAGTACCTGACACTGTTTACCCACTGGGCGCTCCAAAGAACCACTGGGTCAAGCTATCTTACATAACACTGATGTGAGCCATGTTTCCAGAACACCCGTCTCTTGGGGAATTTGCTTTATCAAGCACATCAAAAGAAGTGCTCCAAGGACTGCTTCTTGAAGAATTAAACAGTGCTTGCCTGGCATGAACCTTAAAGAACACTCATTTATGTTAGAAACTTGAAGTATTTCTATGGGAGAGACATCACAGCAAGAGATATGGCTTTCCACCTTACAAATATTACAAATGTTGTAGATGAGAAGTGTCAACATGATATGTGCCTTCTAAAGCACATGTGAAGTCACACAGATGTCTGGGGAACCTGGAATCACGTACTCCATAGTGGTCTGCTACCCTCTTCATCTGTTCGAAGTCATCTGCTTGGGCCAGCAGGTGCAGCCCCTCAGGGTAGAGCTTGCCACAGGTCGGGTACAGGGCCTGCCGATCATCTTTGCTTAATTCTGTGCCAAAGGAGTTAAAAGTGATGGTAAAAGCTCGTCTGTCGGCCTCAAACTGAATTAGCAAGAGATAAAATTAGTGAGATATAATCATCTACTGAATGTCATAAACAGAGCCCTGAAGACACAAGACCATATTCAAAGTGATTTGCTATCCTTTTGCATCTATGTCTAATTATAATACAGGCATGCCATTAATGATCCTTTATTCTCTTCTCATTATGGAGAAATCTATTAGCCAGAGAAGGATCACACAGCAATGTTAATGGCCTATATGGCTCTTGAAACCCTATCCTTTAGTTCCCAGGTACTCATTTACTCACTACCAGTTTCAAATGTCTCTTCCATAAAAACATGAGTAATACCTACTTGTTGGGGTCCATTCACAGACAGAGCAAGATAATGTAAGTGGAAATATCTAGAGGGACGTTTGGAAGAAAAGTACATGCCATACCTGTTCATATTCTTCTCTGATTATTGGTGTCAGTAGGAAATTTTTTACAGGATGAAAATTTGTGCTATTACCATTTGGATTCACATGGTTTTGGTTTTCTTTTCTTTTCTTTTTTTTTTAGTCCTTGCTTAAATATCAATGAATCTAACTCTGTAGCTAAGAATTTTGTGGCTTGGGGCAAGTTATCTCCCTCTCAGGGTCTCAGTTTCCTTTGTTGTAAGGTGATGGGGATTGGTACTTGAACAAAAGCCTCATGTTAGGCCTCTCCAGTTCATCTAACCAGTCTTTCTTGAAATTTCCTTCTATTCCTTTGGTCTCTGTGTTTCTTCTATCTCCTGGCTCTATTCTGACCAACCCATCTCAGCTTGGCCTCCACCTACCTGGCTGTTTGTTGTGGTGCCCTTGGGCTAAGAAACTCTTTTGGGTGCCTGAGGCATCCTGCACTTAATAGATTATTTTAAAATCTTCATGGATTTCTCTCCCTACTGTGTTCTAAAATCTTTGCAGGATCACTTGCTCATTGTTCATTTTTGAATACCCAGTGCCTGACATGTAGGAAGATCTTAAGTGTGTACTGAATCCAACAGAATGGTCTATGATTCTGCTACTTTAGATGTCCTTCAATTAGCTTCCTTTTGACTAGCTGATAACAAATCCAGACTTGCCCTGGATTTTACTGGGACTCTTACATAAGAACAGGTGTTTCCCATGCCGAGTGAGTTAGTTCCTTCTGATCCTTCTGAGCACTCTCATGGAAATTACTAGTAAGCCAGAGTCAGGGGCTGCCTTATTAGGAGGCAAAGGCAGTTGCCTCCAGCCCCTGAATAAAACTAGTCCTGTTGGTAAATTTAGGCCTTGCAGGTGTTAAGAGAAGAAGAATATTCATGGCAAAATAAACCTTGAAATAAAAATCAGGGCAGGGGAGAAACAGTGGAGTTAATTAATTGTTCAGAGTTCTTCAGCACGCTTCCTTGTGGTCAGATCATAGGATTTTCTGGAGAGAACTGGTGTGCGGGGCATGGAGGAAGGTGGAAGCTTTTCGCAGGCCCACAAAGCACAGTCACAGCTCCTAGCTGGGAAAGTGGGGAGATGAGGGAGGGACAGGGAAGTGGACACAGAGCATGATGGGCTTCACAGGCTGTTGCCAAGAGGGCAGAACCATGACTGAGACAGTGGGCTACTGAACAACCCATGCACTAAGTTCTAGTTTTGAGAACATGTCTTCTCTTTGCCTAAAATGCACATACTCCATTCCATAACAACTTGTTGAAATCCTACCTGCTTTTGAGGATCCCGTCAAAAACCACTTTTTCATAAAAAGTCTTTCTATTTCTTCCCTAACTGGATATGATTTCCTTTGACTCCTATTATACTGCAATTTCCCTTTTTTTTCTGTCATATATTGACCTTACCGCATTCCCCTGGTCTAGAGGCTCTATCTGTGTGTGAACATCTGTGCTCTTAGTGAAAAGAACTATAATTTGGAATTGTAAAAAGGCTGCACTGTCCCTGGCCACCCCTAAGCAGACATTGGACACACATTATGGATCTGATTATGGAGGAGAGGAAATGATGCAAGATTTGTTTCTCTGAAGCCCTGTATCTTCTGGAGAGGGGTTGGCATCTGTGGGCACAGAGAATGTCAAATATCCTGTCTTCTTCATGCCTGCCTACATATACTCATTTATTAGGAAAGCACAATTTTTGTTGTTGTCGTTACAGAAGATAACAGTGTACTTTTGACTTATTCAAAACTACTATCAGTTGCACCCAATAGAGCTGGGCTGTCTGGTCACCTGTTTTTGCCAGTTCACACCTCGAGGGGGAAGGGGTGGGGATGTGGGTGGCCATGGAGATGGACGGCAGTGACATGAGACAGATACATTCTGGGTACATTTTTCACTGTTCCATTAACCACATATTGTCTGAAGAGCAGAACTGAAAAGCAGCATGTGTGCCCTGAGCATAAGTTAACTTTTTCTTTATATGAAGTAAAATTTTGTAATTAGGTCAAATGTTTGCATGTAAACCCAGGTAACGCTCTCCCGCACATTCTCCTGTCACATGAGATTAAATGGGAATATATGTGGGAGAATTTTGTAAACTGTTAAGTTCCCTCTGGTTGCACAAACAAAGGGAGAAGGCATTACATGATCTGATATATTTATGTAAATCTGACAAATCTGATCATATCAAGAAGTTACGATTGCATGCCATGTGTAATTGATCTATATAAATGTGTACAGATGATTAAATATATTTTAATTTTTAATGCAGATTGAAAAAAATCTAATCTAATATGATAGTATCAAAGGTATAGGAAAGGGGCTGTGAGACCACTGGGTATGTGATAAGTCTTCTTTCAATACTATGCTGTCCTTTTTACAGAGACATCATTCTTATCGAGTTCTGCTATTTTATAGCATATGCAGTGTGATCTCACTTATAACTTAACACTTACTTTTATGTAAGAATTGTTAATTTAATGTAGAGATAATATAACATAGTGGATAAACATGTAGGAATTGGAGCCAGAAGCCAGGATGCGGGAGTTCAAATCTTGACACTACCACTAACTGTGCATCAGTCAAGTTATAGTCTTCTCTGTGCCTTAGTTGCCTCTTTTGAAAAATGGATACTAAGCTACTCATATCTTTGTACTATTTTGAAGTCCAAGTGAATTTTTGTATAAAAAGCATGTGGGACAGTATCTGGCACATAGTAAGTATTAGCTAGTTAGTAATAGTCCCACTGTATATCTTTTGTTAGTTTTAATATAACTCTTATTTCACTCATTTTGTTGGTATGAAGTATATGAAGCATTTCTAAACCACAGGAATTATGCCATGTAGAAATTATATTTTGAGCCATGAATAATGTGGCTCTTTCTAGTGTGGCTAGTAATGAAATTTATAAAAACAAAAGGACAGGGCTTCATGAGGTCACCAGGTTACTCATGTGACCAGCACATCTGAAAGAGACATATGCACTTTCTGACGTTGAGTATACCATGAAAAAAAGTTATTTATTTATCAATGCCCACATTCTATGTGATATAAATAAGAACAAAAAATAACTTTGAGTTCCCTATTGATAAACTTTTTACTTTTAGGACTCCTTTGGCTTTAAGAGTTTAACAGAGGATAGCAAAGTGTTCTTAATGAAAATTTAAAATTCACATAACATAAAATTTAAATGATTAGATTTTTTGAGGGAAACTAATTTTACCATATGCAGTTTCAGAACATTAGGTTACAATACATGCAGATAAAGTTATTCAGGTTTTTCTTTCCTTGGTTTTTTTCTGAGACTTGTTTTTTGCATAAATGGTAGTTCTTGTCAGGCTTTTCTTGAAATCAGAAGTCATTGGAATATTTAAGGATCTACTCACCAATGAAGTCACTGTCACAGATAATGTAATAATTAAAGATATTCTTTGGACAAAATTTGGTTTCACAGGTATTTTCTAAGCCCAGAATAATATATGTGTATATATATATTATTCAATATTATTTTAAAATATATATATTAATGTTTAAATCCAAATGACTGAGGAAACCAGCAAGAGAGATCTACAGATACAGACACTGCTGAATGCCACCTATGCCCAGATGCCTGAGACCCTTCTGATGTCTGAATTTCCTGTGCATTTGCAGATAACAGTTGACACAAGAGACCTTAGGGCACAGATAAAAATCTCTAATGATAAGAGTATAATAACATCAGTTAGAGGGGTAGAAGCCAGAGTGAACCCCTAACCATAGTCTTTCTAACCAGCACTGTGGTGCTTGAGGGCTTCTTGTGACAGTTTTATGCCAGGATTTCCACAGGGGACAATGCCTACCTTGGACTTCGATGCCAGCTTGTGAGGTCCCAGTTGACCCATGTACCCTTCCTGGAGGGAAGCTGGGTGATCTTATGAGTTCCCACAGTGCAGTAATTGCCATGGATTCTTAAAATTTTTTATTGTATTTTATCCCATTCCATTTAGTCCCCTTATAACACCATCCACATCCTCACTAGCATTTGTTGTTTGTTGATTTATTGATGATAGCCATTCTGATAGGTACAAGATGATTTCTCATTGTGGTTTTAACATGGATTTCTCTGATTAGTGATGTTGAGCATCTTTTCATATATTGTATATCTGTATGTCCCCTTTGAAGAAGTGTCTATTCAGGTCCTTTGCCCAGTTTTTAATTGGGTCGTTTGTTTTTTTGGTGTTCAATTTTGTAAGTTCTTTATAAGTTTTATTTATTTTTTAAATTAATTTATTTTTTCAAATACATTTGTCTCTGCCTACTCCCCACAGCTTTCCCTCACACCCTTTCCCCCTCTCTCTCCCTCAATCCTTTCCCACTTTGGCTTTGTCCATGAGTCCTTGCTATATGTTCCATGAGTTGCCCTTTCCCTTCCTTTTCCCCACCCACCCCTCCTTCCTTTCCTTTTGTCTCTGTTGGTTTCTTTTCTTTTCTTTTTTTTTCAGTGTTGCTGGTCTTATTTTCCTTGCATCTTTCTTATCAGATGCATTGGCAAATATGTTCTCAAATTCTGTGGGTTGGTTTTTTTTTTTAAATTTTGTTGATGCTTTCTTTTGCTGT